ACCTATTTGACCATGACATTTGAATCAATTCTCTGCTTGCTCTACAGTATATTGGACAGTGAATATCCAAGATAGAGACGATTGAAAATATAGAGCTATTTAAAGACCAGAAACCTATTTTGTTGTGGGGATAACATTAAAAGCTTGGACAATGTTTCTGCATAGTCTTGGATACCAATGCCCTCCTCTAGTTTGGAAGTCAATGGAATTGTGAATTCTGCACTCAGTGTCTTAAATTAATGAATGGTAAGTGATATTCAAGGACTCAGAAATTTTTTGTTTACTTTTCTTAAAAAATGTTTCTTCAGTTGTGTGGTATTTGGCTAAATCAAATTGGCCTCAGTGGATAGAAGCATTCCTTAGCAGTCCCCCAAGCAACATATCAAAAACCCCGATTCCTGTTTGTTTTTCTGTGTGTCTGGTACAGTCCAGTACTCTGAATTAGGGCTGTCAAGTGATTAAAAAAATTAATTGCGTGATTAATCACACTGTTAAACAATAATAGAATACCATTTATTTAAATATTTTTTGATGTTTTCCACGCTTTCAAATATTTTTATTTCATTTATAACACAGAATACCAAGTGTACAGTGCTCACTTTATATTTAACCCTGAAACCCATTCTTCTGACCTCCCAAGTCCCTTCTCTCCCCACCCCCCACTCCTTACACACACTCTCACAGAGTTATACCAAGGCTGTGGACACTCTGGCTTCTAGTTTAAGCCCTTTGGGGACAACACAATAGGAAAACAAGGAACACAGGTTTTTATCAACCATAGTAACATTACTCTTTTAAAAAAAAAGTTATAGTTCTTTGAAAATAACAAAAGTCTAGAGATGCAACTACACCTATTCTGAAGGGGTGGGACCAATGTCTGTTAGTGTTCCAGGCTGGGCAGAGTCTCTCCTGCAAGTCCTCCTTACATATGGTGATGGTTGGCTGCCCTGCACAGAACAGCATCCCATTCTTAAGTAGAGTCTGTGTCTCCTTGCCATGTACTCCATTGGGATGCGCGGGCACTACCCTAGTCATGCTTGTGCCTCCCCATGTAGTTCTTTGTGTAGAAACCCTGCTGGGGGGGGGGAGAGGTTGGGATGCACTCAAAGTTGATGGCAGAACACACCAAAGTGTTATGCTCTATCTGCCCAGTGTGGATGCTACTGGCATGAACCTAAAGGTACCTAGCTCATGTGAACGTAGTTCTGTCTGAAGCAGAACTACATTAATGTGAAATAGGTAGGACAAACTAGGAACAGCTGCGTCTACATGGCCCATAGAGTGCAACATGTTGGTGCACTCTGCAGTTCACCCTCATACTCTGCGCTGCAGTGCAGCATAGTCCTTCAATGAGGTTTCATATAGTTTTTCTGGGTAGGTCTGCAGTACACATGCTTGCCATTGGGCATATCTAGGCTTGTGCAATCACAGAGCTAATTTTCCCACACACAATAGAACATAGAGGTCATAATTTGATATAGACCTATCCCCACTCTCTCACAGTCTTAAAATCAGTATTATTTTAGTTTATTTAGTTTATGGCTTCCCAAATTATTTGAGTTGGTGACGCCCTTCCAGACTAAGAGATGCTTTACAGCCCCATCCCTCAAAACCTCTAATCCTGGCTATGAGCAGACAAAATTGTGTAACTGTAACCTTATCAGAAATAACTAATTATGAAGTTTCAAATAAATGAAATTTAATTCTAAAGCAAGTACAACTTCTTAAATCCACTTCCCATTCAATGTGATACTCATCCATCTTGTTGATGAAAGACAAAGGAGGAATTGGTGAAAACACATTCTTAAGTCATTTTTGAGTGACAGGTGATGGAAAGAAAAATGAAGTATTACAACCATAGATGAGAAATGTGTCTTGTAGAGAGAGAGTGAAAATGGGTTTGGAAGTTTCATTGCTTCTGCAACTAAAGCTGGGTACTTTCTTCTTTCAAAGACAGCTAAAATCTGCTAAATTTGTGGACAGGGAACGTCAAGTGCAGGCTCTTGTGATAGGATATGTCTGTTTCTCTTGCGGTGGCCCAAATCAACGCCTTGGGTGATGTTGCTAGTGATCCATCTCTCTCCCTTTGTGGGTCATCAAAAAAAAAAAATCCCGCAGCTGAGTCTGAAGTTCCCTGAAATGATAAATTATGAATCTTTGATTGTTTCTACTTGTCTTTCCAGTTTCTTTAAAGGAATCTGAAACACCTGCCCTCTGGGCTCCAGCCTGAACCTGTATGTCTGCACTGCAGTTTTAGAACCCTGCAGCTTGCGCCCCACGAGCCCAAGTCAGCTGACATGGGCCAGCTGTGAGTGTTTTATTGCAATATAGACATAAAGCTCATTAGGATAATTACTCAGAGGCAGTGGCAAGGTAGACTGTGCGTGACACCCAATTGAACTGTTGAAGGCTTTGGCAAGGAAATATTGCTAATCCTTCTAGAAACATGCACTTCTGCTCTTAATTCAGAGTCCATTTAACACTGGAATCACCTCATTTCAATGTAAAACAAGTTGCTGGTGAAGGGAATCCATGTCATCACAGAGCAATGCAAAAAACTGAGTACATTCAGGACAACCTTTAAGGGAGCTCATTAACAGCTTCCTGATATACGTGGTATAGATTTTCCGACATTTTCTTAGCATCAAGAGCTTGACAGTGCATTAAATAGTGAAGTCATAGGTCTTTAGGGGCATGTGACAAGGCAGCAGGTCTTACCTGTCTAGCCTTGGTACCGTACCATCCATGCAGATTGCAGTACAATGTTCCTACTGGGGGTCGCAACTCACAATTTTGGAAACCCTGATCTAGTGGTTTCACAGTTTCACGGTTAACTGCACCTTTGACCACCCTTCCCTCCACCTGGCCTTCCTCAAGGGCGCACACTTAAAGGTTTCAGGCTTCTTCACTGTCACCTCTCTTGGGTGGAGAGTTGTGTCTCTCCCTCCAGACAGGAATTTAGGCTTGCAGTCCCTCTGCACCTCACTGTGATTTCCCCAACAGATCTGATTGAGATCCAACACCTGTGGTTAATCTTTCTTCCCAGGGGCTACAACAGTGTAGACCAGTTACCATCCAGCCTTCACAAAGCAAAATACATTTATGCATTACAGATCAAACACTTTTTAAAAAAAAGTTCTTATGTGCATGCTAAAAGCTTACCAGAGGTCCATCAGTCTTACAGTCCCCTAGTAAGCCAAAGTTTTTCCAACTCTTCCACAAGGCTTGCCATCTCCCTGCCCCTCTTTGAAGTCAGCCTTTTAAGACCAAAAGCCCTTTCTTTTACTCCTGGAGGAATTCTGCGCAAAAAAAAAAAATTCTGCACACATTATTTTAAAATTCTGCATATTTTTTTGGTCAAAAAAATGCAATATAATCTAGCTAGTTTAAATTATTTTGGTAATTTATTTAAACTACAATACAATGGATGGAGAATGGGAGTATTGGAGGAAATCACCAAACCCCGTCTGTCTAATAGTAATGTAGCTAGCATTTACCATTTACTTCTAATTATTAGTCAACAAATATATGCAGCCATATGCTCAGTGTTGCATCATAGGCAACTGAAGAGCAAGTGAGCGCTGGGGACTCAAACTCACAATTTATTCTGGCTACTGACCATCTCCAAAAAGGTCAGTCACAAACAGTTCATGGAGCATGTTTTGATTAAAAAAAAATTTCAGTCCAAAAATTTAGACCACTTCTAATCACTAAAGCACCATAAGCCTTTATAAGGCCATGCTGTCCTTTACAATAAGGCTCCTTTAACCCACTCTGGCAATGTAAAGGAGCCTTAAAATTTTTACACCTGTTTTATACTCCTGGGGGAATTCACTAAGAACAATGGGAACAATTCACTAAGCAGGCAGGCTGCTATATTGTCCTCTGCCGGAGGGAACAGAGCCTGCCCCACGCCTACCTCTTCAGAAATACCCCAAAGCCCTGCACCTCCAGGCCGAGCATGCTGCAATAGTGAGTGAGAGGGACAGAGCCTATGGTCCCCAAAGATACTGCATCCAGTTGCAATATCTGTCACGTAACATTTTAATGTCTTGGATTGCTAGATATGAGATTTTGTTAAATATTTAAGACCTTGTATGTAAAACAGGGGTCAGCAACCTTTCAGAAGTGGTGTGCCGAGTCTTCATTTATTCACTCTAATTTAAGGTTTCGCATGCCAGTAATACATTTTAATGTTTTTAAAAGGTCTCTTTCTATAAGTCTATAATATACCGTAACTAAATTATTGTTGTATGTAAAATAAATAAGGGTTTAAAAATGTTTAAGAAGCTTCATTTAAAATTAAATTAAAATGCAGAGCTCTCCTCCCCCAGACTGGTGGCCAGGACTCAGGCAGTGTAAGTGCCACTGAAAATCAGCTCACGTGCTGCCTTTGGCACGCGTGCCATAGGTTGCCTACCCCTCATGTAAAAGTTGGGGTGAAGTTCAGGTCTTGAAGTCATATTTTGCATGCCAATACAAGGTAATTCCTCCAGGTCAGGGAAAGATCTTTAGGAGGGCAGTTTTGTTGTTTTTGCTGGACTAAATTGAACTAGGGCTGAATTTGGTTAAATGTGTCTACTGTGGGTAAATAGAGGGATTGTTTCCATTTCTGTTGCCAGTCTAGGTCACAGAAAAAAGTGTATTGGGGAAATGGAGGGGAGAAAATTCACAGATAACTATAAAAGCTTGCAGACTTATGGGATTTTTTTAAAAAATTTGAAGCATTTAAATGTTCAAGTAGATTTTCTGAGATCAAAGTTCTGAATAGCACGCTTCAAAAACTTGTGTTAAGATTTACACATACAATTTAGACATTTTAGAAAGCAAATGTGAAGCTTAAATGCAATGTGTGTGAATTATTTTTCACTGTCATTTTAATTTTGACTGCATCTTTACCACTATATAAAAAGCTTCAAGACATGCATTTTTATTACCGGTATTCTCTTTAGTTTAGAAAATTAAGCAACTTTTAACATTTTTATTTTTCTAGCTTAAATATCTTAGGATGACTATTTGAACAACAGATACTTTGCTTCAGTCTTACTTCAGAATGTCTGTCTGTGCATCTTCTCACAAGGAGTTTTCTCAGTTACTGCCAATTCAGGATATTGGACGTAGTAAAATAGAAATTAAAAGCTCACCTTCTGGCATCGGCTCTCCTGTTTATAGCTGCAGTCAGTCTCCTCTGACAATGCAACAGAGTCCAATTTATATTCCTTCATCTTATGTGGAAAACAGACACGAATATTCTGCAATGGCTTTCTATAGTCCTGCCATGATGAATTACAACATTCCTAGCAATTTCAGCGATTCAGAAAGTGCATCTGTAAGGCAGACATCAAGTCCAAATGTTTTATGGTCTGCTCCTGGCCATATTTCACCTTTGACATTACATTGCCAGTCATCACTTTTATATGCAGAGCAACCAAAGAGCCCATGGTGTGATGCAAGACCAGTGGACCATGCACTGCCTATGAACAGGTAAATATTTTATTCTTTCAGCATTTTTGCAAGTTATTACTTGACATTCTATTTAATCATTTTAAGATTGTATTTTTTTACATATGATTTTTACGCACTGGTCCATGAGAAAATGAACTCCATAAGCGCTATTGTGTTTATATCTAAATTTCAGAAGTTTATTACTTTTTAAGATGGCTCTGTCTGGAAGTATTATCTACAGCTGCTGGGGTGGGTTACTCATTACTATATGCTTCATAAAGCCAGCACTGTGTAAAAACTTGGTATCTCCAAGGACTTCAATGCTGTAGCATACTTTAAAAATTCTCTTTGGGTTTAACATTGATGCAATAGGATAAACTGTGTCCAAGAGAACCATATTATTGTATGGCTCGCTAACAGCGTTTAGCGGTTGCTATTCATTAACAGGACTGTCTCACTCTACAAGATTGTGTTAAAAAGCTTCTTTGGAGGCTATAGCCAGTCAAAGATCAGTACAGACAGTTGAGATTTTCACAGCAGATTCTTTGGTCAAAATTTTCATCCACGAGTAACTGGGTGTGTCTGTAAAAATACAGCCACACTTTTTCTACACATACTCCACACTTGAATACATAGGTGGGAGTCAACATAAGCATCAATTAGAGGATGCAGTTACTCAGTTTGTGCATAAAATCTGTTTACAAATGTGGTCATTGCAAACACAGTTGTTCCTTCAGTAGCTAAATGTTCAGTCACAAGGTTCTTTACACGATACTGAATACAAGCAGTAATGCCTGTAATAAGTAAAGAATCCAGATTTGATCTATTAAATTTCAATTAAATTAAATAAAAATAAAAAAATTAAATTAAAATTAAAAAATAAAATATTAATGTTAAATATCAGAAAAGTTAGCCTATTTCTCCTATTACCTACATCAGCGGTTCTCAAACTGTGGGTTGGGACCCACTTTGGGGTCCTGACCCTGTTTTAGTGGAGTCGCCAGGGCTGGCTTCAGCATTAGGCAGTGTGGCTCAGGTTACAAGCCCCCTGCCTGGGGCTGAAGCCCTGGGGCTTCAGCTTTGAGCCCCCCACCCATGGTGGTGGGGGTCAAACACCTGGGGCAGCGGGACTCGGGCAGGCTCAGGCTTTGGTCTCCCCCCCGGGGTCATGTAGTAATTTTTGTGGTCAGAAGGAGGTCACAGTGGAATGAAGTTTGAGAACGCTTGGGCCTTGACCTACATTATTCCTCTGGCCCCCATCTCAGGCGTTGTATTTGTGTAAGTGCCATACACAGCCTGCAGAGGGCCAAGAGAGAATTCTATCACAGCCCTGCATTGGGAAGTCATAGCACGGCATGCCAAGAATAGGACTGCAGTGGATACCACCCACTATGGCCATGCTGGCTTATGCTGCAAGCCAGAGGCAGCTGTGTGGAGGCTGTTGTAATTTCGGGTATTAACAAAAAGAATGAGGAGTACTTGTGGCACCTTAGAGACTAACAAATTTATTTGCGCATAAGCTTTCGTGGGCTAAAGCCCACTTCATCGGACACAGGACACTGGCATGTTCTCTGGGACAGCCCTGCCTCCTCTGGGCAGTGCCTTCTGCACTGTGCTTCTGGGAGGCACAGCATAGTATCTCAGCCTGTATTTTAGTTCCTTTTTGTATGAATGGTGGTATCTTATACTTGTTTGCTAAGCATAGCAGTTATAATAGAGTCCAGACATACCCAATATTTCTTTTCTACTAGTTGTCTGATTATTTTTTCATACTAATGTGTCATAAGTAGTTGAAATTTGAAGAAGTGGGTAACGATTGTTTTTCATCAGTAGATAGCTGCCATACTGCCTACTAGTGAGACAGTTGATTATTTTTTAACTGTTATGCTATAGCATATTTTGATCCCATTCATGGGGGGAGCACAGTTCTAAGAATGGGGATTCATTATAAATGTAGACCACAAAGATAAAACAGAAGCAATTTTCCTTATTGTAGATATCTAGACTTGAATAAGAACATTTTCCTACATGGTCCTGCTTCTCCTTTTTGCTTCATTCTGTGGTGAAGTCTTAATACAGTGTTCATGATATTAATTTATTGCCATTTATTATGATGCTGAACACTTACAAATAATAACTGAAATGAAATATCAAATAGTGAAGAGTATGAACTCTGAGGAACCAGCCGCCTGTTCCATTGATCATAAGCAGAAGTTCCAAGTAATTTTTAAAACCCATAATGAAGTAAAGTATTTGTTTAAATATGAGATACAAACTTTCCTTGAGTTGAAAATGCATAAAATCATAGAAATGTAGGGTTGAAAGGGACCTTGAGAAGTCATCAAATCCAGCCCTCTGTGCTCTGGCACAACTAAGTAAACCTAGACCACCCCTGACAGGTTTTTGTCCAACCTCACATGATGGGGATTCCGCAACCTCCTTTGGAAGCCTATTCCATAGCTGAACTAACCTCATAGTTAGAAAGTTTTTCCTAATATCTAACCTAAATCTCTCTTGCTGCAGATTAAGCCCATTACTTCTTGTTCTAACTTCATTGGACATGAAGAACAATTGATCACCACCCTCTTTATAATGGCCATTAACATATTTGAAGATTATCAGGTTTCTCCTCCCCGCCCCCAGTCTTCTTTTCCCAAGACTAAACATGCCTACTTTTTTAACCTTTCCTCATATGACACAGGTTTTCTAAACCTTTTCTCATTTTTGTTGCTCTTCTTTGGATTCTTTCTCCAATTTGCCCACATCTTTCCTAAAGTGTGGCACTAGAACTGGACACAGTATTCCAGCTTGAGGTTGCATCAGTGCCAAGTAGAGTGGGACAATTACCTCCCATGTTTTACATACGACACACCTGTTAATGCATCCCAGAATGATATTGGCCTTTTTTTTTAAACTATATCACATTGTTGGCTCATATTCAATTTGTGATCCACTATACCCCCAGATTCTTTTTAGCAGTACTACTAACTAGCCAATTATTCCCCATTTTGTAGTTGTGCATTTGATTTTTCCTTCCTAAGTGAAATTCTTTGCACTTGTCTTTATTGAATTTCATCAGAATCAGATCCTATGTGCTCAATAATAGTTCACACAGCCTTAGACACATGAACCTTATACAGAAAAAAAAATGAATTTAGCAATAGAAATCTAATATCTTAAAGTTCAAAAAAGAGTACCGGCCAAGATATTCAAAAATAGGAACCTAAAGTTGTTCCCTCCTTTCCTCCCTCTCCTTTCACTAAAAGTTATTTTTTAATTTAAAAAGTTACAGTACTGTGAACAGAGGAATTATGTCATAAAATGAGGATGTATTACACACGCACGCGCACACAAAAACTATGTTAAAAGAACATTATTAAGGTTGGAAAGTGAAAAGTTTGAAAATGCCAAAATTAAGGTTGACTATGTAACCTCAAATTGGCCCCCTGGTGTGCGTTATGATGATACAGTCTTTAATTACAAGATCACATACTACTTTTTTCACAAGACCCCTGCTTCATTCATTGCACAATATGGAGGATACTCTTTTAATGAGCAGCCATTCAATATCTTGTTTTTTGCCTAATTTTTCAATGTGTGGCCTCAGGCCTTCCTTACTGCACAGTATTTATACCCTATTACAAAGACAGAATTATTAATTCTCATGGGCATTTTTATGATGCCGTTTGAGAGGCCCAGGAGTTTCCTTTCACAACCAGTTCTAGTCTCCCCCCCCGATAGATTTTAACAATATATAGCGCTTGCTTTCTGCCTTGTAACATTTGTTAGTTATGCATTATAGTGTGTAATTTTCTTTTACTTCCAATTTTAACATTTCTAAAGTTTAATAGAGATTTCAATATTCTGAAACATAACTTTTTACAGTATATCAATGAGTAGAATTAAGGTATTCTTAATTGATCTTAATCCTCATTGTAAATCTAAAATTAGGCTAATGAACGTTTGTTCTCATTTACAACATAAAAATACAGCTATGCTTCTAACGCTAAACCCCAAATGACTTGCTTTCCTACAGAAACAGTGAAATAGATGACAGGAGGAATATGTCCACCAGTTTTCACTCCCTGAAATAGCAGGAAATTGATCATGTGGGATACACCAACTTGATTCTAATTATCTCCACTCAGTGCCCCCTCAGATTGGCCCTTGCCAATTGCCTTGAGAGAGTATACATTTCCGACTCAGGATTTGGCAATCGGTTAAACCATGTGTGAGCCAGAATCATGCTAGTTAATCATCTAATCTTATTTATACTCTGCAGTGTATTCGTACCCAGTAATTATTCATTTTTCTTAAATCCTAGTAAACTGAATTTAGCCAGTAAACATTTTCAGCTGCCACACTCCCTTTTCATATTTTTGTGTCAAAATCTATTCAGAATAATCTCCTATATGTGCTAGATAACCACTTCTTCCTCTCTCCAGCTTTTCCAGTTTTTGTAAGCTCCTTTTCTGCTGTAATACTTGCAATCTCTAATAAAATAGGCTAATTATTTTTGTCCCTTCATCCTTTCTTTAAAACTGGGATAAATCTGCTTTAGTAATAGTTAAAACTACATTGACTATGTTAAAGCATGCTTCTACATTTTCCTTTACAATCAGTGTTCTTATTCATCCTTTCAGTATGGCTGGAGTATATTTTTAAGTGCTTTTCTAAAGTTCCACATAGAGTCTTTGGTAAATAGGTTTTTCCTGCCCCAGAAATATATGCTAGCTCCCTAAGAACTTAAAACCCTACTGCCTCCAATTCCTACTTAAATCACTAAGACTTGCACTGTTT